CCATGAGAAAAACTGCAAAACATGAACATAACCCGGATGTGCTCAGCTCCCACTGCCTGGGGAGGTCTTGCACGGTGCTGCATGTGGGGTTTCCTTTGGGATGAGGCAAAGCTTGGATTGTTTCATCCCATTAGAGGCCTCAAAGCAAGGTGGCAGCAAGCAGTTGGAACTCATGGCAGAGCAGTGAGGCAAGGGGACGTGCACCCATTCGTGGTGCAGCTGAAACACCACTTGACATCCAATGGACTTTGGATAGGAAGGTAGGACATTCTGTAGGCAAGGCCATGCTGGTGGTTCGTCTAGGACAGGAATGTGCCACTTGCGTGTAAAAGACTCAGTGGCACATTTATGGAAACCAATATCCTCCCAGAACAAAATACGGAACTGCAGAAGCAAATCTCCTCCCAAAAGGCCAGAACAAGTCACATGTGACAGGTTATAGTCATGTCACAACATATCCCTCAAGGCTGTAGCTCTGACAGTGTGGGGTCCCACATGACCCTGGGGAATGGACTGGAGTAGAGCAGGTGAAAGGCTGTCTGCTACATGGGAGAAAGCTGTAAAAATACTCAGAAATGCAAAATTGTAGGATAGTCTTTGAATTCTGCAGTGGACTGATGGTCTGAAGAAAAAGGACTTCCTGCATAGGTTTTCCTGTCTAACACAGCTGCCTGCAGTATCCTGACTTATATAAACATCACATTAAAAAAAAATCTAACAAACCTCTTGGTAGCAATGATACTGTGTGGCAATGAGTCACACGGGATAATTATGGTTTTAAAAAGCAATCTTTTTCAGTGTTGGATGTTTTCTCTTTTAATTTAATCAAATATCTTCATACAAGGGAAGACAAACAATGATGCCTAATTTCCTTACACAGATTCTCTCTTAGGAATGGGCTCTGGAAGAACATGCCTTAGGAGACATCATCATTGGATTAAAGAACAAAGAGCGGGGTGGTTCTTCCTTCACCCTGGTAATGCATAGTGCTGTTTTGCATTCTTGGACAGTTTCATGCATGTATAGCTTTGTCACCAAACTAGCTGTGGCTCTTGGCCCTGGTTATACTCCATAATTGGGTCACCAGACAGCGCTACCCAAAGCTAAGACCAGCTGTTGTGAGATCCATCTTCCAGCTCTGTCCAGGGACATTTAATTTGTACACCCAAAGGAAATTGTGATAAGGTTTCCTCTTCAGTCCTAGAAAGAAGTCCACAAATAAAATGCATATTTCTGGTTGTTACAAAGCCCATTGTCTCTAGAGTGCATTAAACTATTGAAACTTTAGCTTTCATTTCCCTTACGAAAGCTTTTGGTTGTATAGAGGTGTCCAAGACACTGTAGGTACAGACAAGGTATAGAGGTGCCCTGGGGAGGTCTCTGCACTATTAATTCTGTAGTAATCTCTGGTTTAAATAATCCTCTCTGGTATAGAGTGAAACCCTGTGGTCTCTCTGGCTCTCCGCAGTGCAACTGCCCTGCTTGATGCCCAGGTATTCCTGTTGTATATATTTTATTGATCCAAGTAAGATGGGAAACAGCTACGATATACATTCTTTGGGGAATTTCACATTTAAGGGCTGATCCTATTAATTAAAGGAAGGAAACTTTCAGATAAGGACAGAAGAACTTTTGCAATGTTGCCAAGAAAATAAAACAAGACACCAAGTGCAGAGAGGAAGGAAAAACAAGTTGGTAATTTTTTCCTCTTTTTTATCTTTCAATGCGTAACATTAATCATTTTAATCACTTGATAAGGGTGGGTATACTTGTTCCAGTGTCCTTTCTGGGAAGGGGCAGAGCTGCTGCAGCACTGGGTGTCACGCACTCGGGCAAACATGGGTGACACTGCTTTTGCAGGGCTCTGAGCCCATGCCACAGGTTGAGACTGGGGCTGTGAGGTTGTCCTGCCACACAAGCTGTGGTTGTCTCATCCAGACCTAAAGCAAGTGTCCCGGCGTGAGCAGGATGTCTGAATCCTCTGTGCTCTATTTTACAAGAACTTTCAGAAACGCAAGGAGTTATGCTGAGTTCCTCTCAACTGGCAACAGTAAACTCAGTTTTGGACAGATGTTGACAGGATGCCCCCAGGAGCCAACAGCTGTTATAGGCTGCCTGTCTGCAGCCTCCCCACTCCATAGGCCTGGCTGCTCCCAGTCATCTGCTTTTGCTTGTTTGCACTTATTTGAACTATGTCTTGAATTATGACAACTATGTCTTGAACACATCCTATTTTTCTGAAGGGTCAACAGAAAAATGACAGGTATACGTGTCACATCACAACATCTTCGCTACTCTCCTGGTGTTCAAATGCTGGTCCTACTGCTAACAAATTGCCTGTGGGGGTCATATGGATGTGCCAGTCTTCGATCTTGGTGTGAACTGTGAGGGCGATGTCCTTTGCTGTCAGTTCAGGCCATTCCCTCAGCCCTTGTCCTGAAGTTACTTTAGGGACTTACAGATCTTTCCATTCATACTTCATTACTTAACTCTATGCGAGAGGGAAAAGGCTCCTCCAGAGTCCTTCTTCAGACTTAGACACTGTCACAGAATTAATCAGGGTTGTTCCATGGATGCTATCTTTGCTTGTCAAAGGATTGCGGATTGAGGATTGTGAGCCTGGGGTGATGCTGGTTTCACTCTAGGCCTACTAATGCCCTTGAGCAGAAGTTCAAGTGGGCTCTCTCCTTTGAATGACTCGCTTTAAGTCAAAAGGGTGCACAAGGATTTTGGTGGAAGGGCCCTTGTTTGCTGCTTCAGTGTGAGTTATCACAGATGCTGACCATGAGCTGCTGAAGCCCATGTGGATCTTTCCTCCAAAGCTAGTGCCAAGCTGTCTCTGGACAGGGTCTTTAATCATGATTTTGAGAATGGGTAGATAGAGAAGATGATAGAAAGTATCTCACAGATGATGGTGACAAGGCTCTGGGAATTAAAATGTTCAGGAATAACTGTTCAGAATACTTTAGGTTTTACCATCATTTTAACAAATTATTCCCGCAACTTAATTATATAAACATTTCTTGAAACTTTGAGATTGTATCACTGTGGTATTTCTTCTCTGAAATGAGGGCTGAGCAAAGGTCCAGGTGTGACAAGGAACTGGGCAGATGCAGGAGAGGAAAATGCAGTGGAAGGAGGATGAAGAAGTGTGGTTTGGTTGGTGATACAGGATGTGGGCCTGCCTCTCTAGAGGAGTCAGTCAAGCCTGGCAAGTGAAAAAGGAGTGGACAGGCAGGTAAATGAAGCTCAGAAGGCAAAAGGTGGGAAGAGTTTAAGTTCTGGAGAGATCAAAAGGAAACAGGTCTGCCTGCACACATCCAAACTCCTGGGCAATTGAGAAAACGAAGGCGCGAAGAACACCAAGACTGTGACTGTGCTGCAGTTCCTGCATAGCTGTCGGGAACTTACTGGGATGAAGAACCTCAATTACTTCGGCATTTTTACAAAGGTCACCCAAAACTGATGCAGTATGGCTAGATATATTTTCTTTCTCATGTAGCTATAACACAGTCTTATAGCAGACTAATGGCCTTAATAAAATACCTGGTTTTATAATCTATTTTTCTCTGAGGTAGCCATTTGTACACTTTTTTTTTTGTTGTTTGTTTGTTTTTTAATGATCACTAATTAAGTCCTTGGTTAAAGCCCTTTGGAGGCTTTCCAAAAACGTAAACTCTGCCTGGGTACTCTGATGAAATAGTCACTAAAATATCTTCCCAAAGGACAGCTAAGTGGATTGGAAATGGACCAAAGTCTGACAAAAAGGGGTGGGTGGAAGAAACACAGATCCAGGCAGGCATCTTCTAATGCCTGGAAGAAGAGAGGGAAGGAAATAGGATTAAAATGCCTTGTGGTTACTTTTGGGCAGAAGCTGGCAGATGAAAAACAGCCCTCCTTGCCTCATGTGAAGGTATACCTTACTTTTACCTATGGTTTTGGTGAGAACTCTTGTAGTACATTGAGGGCTCAGCAGTAAGAATGTGGGAAAGTCTGCAAAGGAAACCCACCAGATTTTGCAGTGCTGCCTGCATCAGCATCTCAGATTTTGCAGTACTGAACAGAATCACTCCTGCCATGCCCTCTGAAAGTGAGAGAGAAAGGGCAGATTTATAACTTTCTGATCTCACTTGTCTTCTCTTTTCCTCTGTGACAGTAAATATGGTTTACGCATTTATGGTTCTTTCAGAGTACATAAGCGAGACTGTTGCTTCCAATTAGTTTTTAAAATAATTGCCTCGGTTCTCTTTGCCAAACTCTCTAATACCAGTATCTACTGCAAACGCTGTTGCTCGCCAGTGAACCTTGATTTGGGCGATGCCAGAGGCCTTGGGGCTATAACCAGCACATGGCCCATGGATCACTGAAGGAATGCGACCTTGAGGGGAACCCGTTTTCAGCCATAGCAAAAGCCAACGACGTATGACAAAGAGGTGTATGTGGCTTGGTGGATGCCAAGGAACCCTTTACTTATGCTGCCAGAAAGTTAAATCCTGAGGAGCTCTTTAGAAAATAGGAATCTCCTGTTGGAGGAAACACTATATTTGCATGGATGTTCTGCTGGGAAGCCAAGCAACCTTTGTGTAAGGGTCACATAACTGGACCACATATAGAACTGTGAAAACCGTCTTGATTGGTAGCATATGCAGTGTAAAGTGTAATATGTAATATGTAACGTATAATGTATAACATATAAAACATATAGCATATAATATATAATGTACAATGTACAATATACAGTGTATAATATACAATAAAGTTAGGAAACTCAGCAGTGGTTAACACTGGGAGGGAATCAGGGCTTGCAGACTGATTTGAATACAACCACTAGCAGGTTACTGGAAAGTTTCTCAGTTGCCTCGGTGGTTGGGTAACGTCACAATTCTTCTCCCTCTTTGTCTTTTTTTTTTTTCCTCTCTCCTCCTCTCTCGCTCTGAATTTCCTACAACACTGCCTTTCTGCTGCCCTGCCTGTTTGGTCTTTCATGGCTGGGTGGCAGCATGGACAGGCTGCTCCTGCTAAGGAGGCTGCTCTGGTGTGTGACCAGCATCCTCATGCTCTCTGGCACAGGTACCATCCTAGAGGGCTAACAGTTTATGATGGTTTTCCTGGCACTCAGTCAGGGAATTAGAAATCTTGGGGTTTGTCTAAAATGCTGGCATTCATTTGTGGTGCAGACAAGCTGCTTTTTATTGCTCAGCTTCCCCGGATGTCCGAAACCATGCTGGAAAACCAGGGAGGTTGCGCTCCCATTGTTTGTTTGTTTGTTTTTCTGCTTTCCTTCGATTGCTTTGTTTTCTGTCTCTTCCAGGCAGCTGCTGCTCTCCCTTTCATCAGTCTAATTGATGATGGGCAGCATGGCTTTGTGGAAAACAGGAATTGTCTATTCAGACAATTCTATTCTATTCTATTCTATTCAGCTAGGCTCATTTTCATTTGCCTGTGTTAACGAGATGAAATGGGATTACGGTCAGTAATAGTGCCAGTGCTGTTGTCATGCTCTGCTTTTCACTTGGGCCAACGCACCATGCCAGCCTGGTAGAAAATCCATGTGGCACACAGCATGTGTATTTAAAAATGATTAAATGCTTGGTCATGATTTCAGTGTACAAGTGTGCTATTGTGGTGCTAAAAGGATGGCCCCTAGTGCCACTAAATGGGAGAGATGCACTAAATCATTACTGATTAGAACTTGCTACTGGCACAGACTAGTATTAGGGACTCGCTGGAGAGGACAAACTGGCTCAATACTTTTCTCCACCCAGATTTAATTTTTTTTAAGCCCTTAATGGGCTTAGTTCAAGCAAGGAGACTGTCATGTGCTCTTATATAGGCACAGAGACCTTTGGTCTTTACAAAATGGTATTTCCACAACATTTAATTCCTTGAGTTGGTGATATTCAGTTCTCTGTTTGTGTAGGAAAAACTGATTTTTCTCCACAGCTATATTCTTTTCCTGCTTGGTTTTTGATTGTATCCAATGATCAAAAGGTCTGCAGTAGGATGGAATTTTAAGGAGTCGAAGCAATTCTCCTGCTGCCTTAGCAGAGGCCCTAAGTTGTATCACCCCTTTGGCTGCACTTCTGCTTTCCTCTTCTCCAGGACACACAGCTGAAGAGGTGCTAACACCTGGGAACATTCATGCAGCCAGGGACAACAATTTGACCTTGCACTGCTACCTGGCACTGTTCAATGCTATAGTCTCCTTGGTGAGCTGGAACCGCTGCAACAGGGTTGACCTGGTGGTCTACCTGAACAAAAGCATGGCCAGCATCTCCCCAGCATTCATGGAAAAGATCTCTCTGGCAGCAGATTATGGGATAACGCTCCACTTGCTAGGACTCAATGACACTGGTGATTACTGCTGTAAATTCCACACCTTCCCTTTTGGGGTATATGAAGGCAGGATGTTCCTGGAAGGGACAGGTAAGGCAAGAAAAAAAAATGCAGGAACATAGGTTATTGGTCAGATTCAGTCTTTCAAGTGAATGAGGACTGCAAAACTGTGTAGATACATAGCCTCTGTTGAGAGGCGTTCTCAATTTCTCTGAGAACTGGGGCTTGAAGTGCTTTATATATCTGGCTGATCCTTCTACATCACTGAGATACCTCTGACAGCAGTATCCTGCAGCTTAAAGATATGTACTGGAAAAATTAGGAAAACTGCCATTCTGAAATAAGCAGGTATTTTAAAAATGAACTTTAACTACAATTTAGATTTTTATCAGCAATATCAAAATTCACAGTTTTGATAAAACTTACATGAACTTTGCACATTTTTGTTGAAAATAGGGTTCATTCACCTTGGTTTTGACACCAGCAGACATTTTTAATTCCGTCAGAAAGTGGCCACAGAAATCTTTTTTGAGGTTACTTTATTTTTTTTTAAATTATGTTTCCTTTTACATATTCTATTCATTGATACTCCTAATGAATGCTCTTTTTTTTTTTCTTTTTAAAGAAGGTAATACTCTTGACAGAGCCTCAGCTATATCTGACAGTCAGAAATGAAGCTTAATGTCCCTGCTGGTGAGCTAGAAAGGGCTGTTGGTTGTTCATGGTGACACTTGACTTGATGGTGCAGACTCTGCCTTGTCATACGATTTGATATATACCCTTCATGTAATCCATAGACTCAGTCATCTATCCACGCTATCATGTCTGAGCTTATAGGCCTTGATGGAGATGGCTCATACACCCAAGAAATTGCAGTTCTTAGACAGAGATAGGGTGTGAGGTGCCCAGGACAGAGGCTATTGAACTGATGATGGACTACAAACATTGTCTCACCCACTGCCCTATTTCTTGGCTGTATAGAGCCTGAGATTTGGGAGAAAGACCACATTCAGCCCATGAACCAGACTGTACACCCTTTGCCAGTCTTACAGTCCAGTAAGTACAGTACTGTAATCCAGTAAGTGCAGTATTGTACAGTACGGTACAGTAGTATGTTGCTACTTCAACCTGGCATGTAAGGAAGAGCTCTTGTTGTGGTCAAGTGCCTCTGGGATTATCTTAAGCATGAAACAACCCAACTTGCCAGTTGTGTCTGAGTAGGGCTGGACACCAGCGGCTGAATGGGGTGAAGGGAATAGGCAACTACATGGCTGCTACTTAGTGGAGGGATCACTGGTGTGCATGTCACAACCTGTGTCAGTCTGGGTCTTGGATGTAGCCTCAGGTCCCTTCTGTGTACACTTCTCAGGGGAAGATACCTTCAAAATTTGTAAGAACAACTTGTTTTGTTGATTTCAGCAGAAACAGCACAACCTACCCTTGGCACCATCCATCCCTCTGTAATCATCTGCTTGACAGGAGGAATGCTCCGTGCTGCATGTCTTGTCTTCTGGCTCATCAGGACCAAGGTAGCTGGACCAGACTGGCTAAATATGCCCAAGGGCGGCTGCTTTCTCTAGAGGTGGGACCTTTTCAGCCCAGCTCTTGGCTGGTATTTGGAAAGTCTCCCCGGTCAGCGTAGCTTTGATAGTACATATAAAGTCAAACCAAATGTCACCCTGCCAAAAATTTCCTCAGACTGAGCGTCCTGAAATTGCAGGATCTGTCTGAGAGGCTGGGCATTGCTAGATCTTTACACACCACTTTTCCTCTCCCACCAGTGACTACAGATACTAGCTGTCCTTACCCTACAGAGTCACTGCGAGAGAAATATCTGTGTAGTCCATTTCCTGAGCAAATCTGAAGGAGGGCCTTGAACCTATCTTATTTTTGTGCTCAGCTGCATCCTCTGCGTCCTTCTGGGCCCTGAGGTCCGAGTGACTCAGAGTCCCCAGGAGGGATAAGCTGGGGTCATGACTCAGAGTCTCCAACTGAGACTGAGGGTGAGGAAACCTCTCACATTGGTGTGAAGGAAAATATGAAAGTCTGTCTGCGCCTGCTTGCGGCGTGTACATGTGATGTCCCATTTCTTCCAGGTGCCTATTGAGAATATGCTTTGGCTTCCCAGAAGTCTTTCTCTGGGGCAATTGCCCCACTCGCTGGTATGGTGTGTGTATCTCTGAGGTGATATTCTCAATATATGCCAAATATATTGAGCATATATATTTGGGGCAATTGCCCCACTCTCTGGTATGGTGTGTGTATCTCTGAGGTGAGAGGCATGCTTAGGAGTCCACCACAGTCCAAAAGGAAAGGCATGTCTTGAGTGATCTTACTTCCATCCTGAATGAAGAGAGGTTTCCTCCTCATCAGCTAAGTGTGTGACCCCTCTTGGGAGCACTCCAGCTCTTATCAGTCTGGTATAAGGTCATATCTCTAAGTTGGGAGCAGAAGCATTTGCCCAAAGTCTAGCGTTAATCCTGCCTGAAGGTCATTTCAGTGGTCCTTGAGGCAGGGAGAAGGGAGAGTCTTCTCTGATGTGAAGCAGCTTGGATTCGGAGGCATCTTAGTAGCTTCATTTGCATTGTAGAGAAAAATGAACATGATCCACATACTGCCACAGAGACCATGGAGGGTGCTTTCAAGGGAAGTCTGGAGACCAAGTCTTGCCCGTCGTGCCACAGCAGAAGAGGGGGTAATGGGAGTCCCTGGTAGAAGTGAGCAGACAGGGGCTGATAATAAGCACAAGTATTTCACAGAATGGTTGAGGTTGGAAGGGACCTCTAGAGATCATCTAGTCCAATCTGCCTGCTCAAGTAGGGACACCTAGAGCACGTGGCACAGGGTCGCATCCAGCAGGTTCTGAAGATCTCCAGCAAGGGAGACTCCACAGCCTCTCTGGAGAGCCTGTTCCAGTGCTCTGTTACCCTCACAGGAAAGAAGTTCTTCCTCACATGGAGATGGAATTTCCTGTGTTTTAATTTGTCCTACTACTTGTCCTGTCACTGGCAGACACCGAGAAGAATTTGGCCCCATCTTCTTTACATTCACCCCTAAGGTACTTACACATATTGATGAAATCCCCTCTCAATCCTCTCTTCTCCAGGTCCAGCTCGCTTAGTCTTTCCTCGTAAGATAGATGCTTCAGTCCCTTAATCATCTTTGTTGCTCTATGCTGGACCTTCTCTAGAAGCTAAACATCCCTCTCATACTGGGGAGCCCAGAACTGCACCCAGTACTCCAGGTGCAGCCTCACCAGAGCTGAGTAGAGGGGCAGGATCCCCTCTCTTGACCTGCTGGCAACACTCCTCCTGATGCAGGCCAGGATCCCATTGGCCTTCTTGGCCATGAGGGCACATTGCTGACTCATGGTTAACTTGTTGTCATCCAGGACTCCCAAATCCTTTTCCGTGGAGCTGCTTCGCAGCAGGTCAACCCATAATCTGTACTGGTGTCTGGGGTTATTCCTCCCCAGGTGGAGGACCCTGCACTTGTCCTTGTTGAACCTCATAAGGTTCCTCTCTGCCCAACTCTCCAACCTGTCAAGGTCCCTCTGAATGGCAGCACAGCTCTCTGGAGTGTTGACCACTCCACTGAGTTTGGTATCATCCACAAACTTGCTGAGGGTGCCCTCTGTCCCCGTGTCCAAGTCATTGACGAACAAGTTGAACAGCACTGAGCCCGGTACTGACCCCCTCAGGATGCCACTGGCCACAGGCCTCTAGCTAGACTTGGCTCCATTTATCATGACCCTCTGAGCTCCACCTCACTGTCCACTCATCTAACCCACACTTCCAAGCTTTCCCGTGAGGATGTTATGGGACACAGCGCCGACAGCCTTGCTGAACTCAAGGTAGACAACATCCATGGCTCTCCCCTCATCCATCCAGCATCCCATCGTAGAAGGCTATCAGACTGGTCAAACATGACTTCCCCTTGGTGAATCCATGCTGACTATTCCTGATCACCTTATTTTCCTTGACATACCTAGAGATGGTCTCTAGGATGAGCTGCTCCATCACCTTTCCAGGGACAGAGGTGAGGCTGACTGCCCTGTAGTTTCCCGACTCCTCCCTCTTGCCCTTTTTGAAGACGGGAGTGATGCTGGCTTTCTGCTAGTCCTCCTGCACCTCCCCTGCTCTCCCTGACCTCTTGAAGGTGATGGAGAGCAGCTGAGCAATGACTCCCATCAGTTCCCTCAGCACTCTTGGGTGCATCCCATCTGGGCCTATGGATCTATGGGTGTCCAGTTTGCCTAAATAATCCCTAGCCCAATCCTCCTCGACCAGCGGAAATCCTCCTCTCCCCTGGTTCTCTCTCTTGTCTCCAGGCTCAGTAGTTCATGGTGACTAGCCTTAGCAGTAAAGACATAAGCAAAGAAGGCATTTAGTAACTCTGCCTTCTCTGCATCCTCCATCTCCAAGGTACCCTCCCCATTCAGCAGCAGACCAATGTTTTCCCTAGTCTTCCTCTTGCTGCTGATGTATTTATATGATGTATTTATATATATATATGATGTATTTCAATGCTTTGCACCACAAAAGCCACATCGATGATAATGTGAGCACAGCAAGAGAAATGACTGATTTGGCAAAGGAGGAGGCAGGGGAAGCCAAGACAGGAGAGTGAGTGAGCAACAGGTCAACCCTGGCCCTGCCATCCGTGGGTGCCCTGCTCCTCCCAGGTCTGTGAAAGCCAGCCCTGAGGTTGGGAGGGAGATGTTTGGCCATATGAAGGAAGCCCAAGAGGACCAGCAGCCAGTGGCTTTGGGAGAAGGGGCCCGTCACGAATGGTGTCAGCATAAGGACACCCACCTGGGACGTGAGGCACGACCCAGCCCAACCCCACTTCGTCTTCCCACCCCACTGGCCACCAATGCTGCATTAGGGCTTCCAGGGGCGCATGCAGGAGTGGTGCCCCCCACCTGCCACCTTCTCTGGAGAAAAAGAAAATCCACAAAGACGCCTGCCACTTTGTTTTGTCTTTTTTTTTCTTTTTTTTTTTTAATTATTCCTTCATATTCAAACTTCACAAACAGTGTGAACTTGTACAATACCTCAGAAAGTGAAACTTACAAAAAAAGTGCTGGTAACATTAAAAAAAAACAAAAAAACAAACATCATTCTTAGCAACATCAATTACTCTTCCACACAAAACAGAAACCTTGTAAAATTTATTTCCGTATTTTTTTAAGGCGTAATACTTCCGTATAAAGTATATGCAAGAGATAAAACTTCACAGTATTCCAAAATGTCACAATAATAATAATAATAATATAGTATAATGAAGCGCTACAGTTAATTTTCTTTTTTTTTTCTTTTTTTTTAAATAACAAATACAAGTCACAGGTAAATATACGTGAGAAAAATACGAGGCTAATATTAAATGGCAGGTAAGGATACTCTCACTGTAAGAAAAAACTGGCAGGATGTGTGTATTTATTCTATATTTTAAAGCACTTGATAGAAAAGGCGTATGCAAGTTTTTTTTTTTTTTTTTTAACAATTTTTGTATTTGCTTGTTTGATAACTGACATACCATTTACAGAGTATAATGAGAGAAAAAAAAGGAACTTAACCCCTCAAAACTTTTGACCTGCTCTTCACATCGTCACAAACCATGTTTCTGGAGAGATGTCTGTATAGAAGTTGTACGCGTGCGCGCAGTGGCACGTGTTGGAGAGTAGGCATGGGTGGGCGTACGGGCACATGCGCAACCACAGCAACACTCATCGGTGTGGGCAAAGAGCCGTCTCCCGCAGAAGTTCTCTGCCACCCTGGGGCCAAATCTTGAAGTCTCTATTCCGGCAAGAAAGAATAACCTGCCATCAGCACGAAGGCGCAGAGATTACCTGTATAAAGACTGCAGGATTTTGGCCTGGATGCGGTTTCCCATTCCCTCGGCTTTGAATGACTGCTGGGAATCTCTTTGTCCCCAGGAAGAGAAGGGCCCCCTCTCTCTAACACGTGCACATGAGCACATGCTCTTCCCTTTGCCTTTTTCTTTACTTCTTTATGCAGTGCCTCCTCTCCTTTTCCTTCCACTAAGCAGAGCAAAGATGGACGCAGCAGTTTCCGTGCGGGTGCCAGCGGCAGCGGTGAGGAATGGGAAGGCGGACGCGTGTGCGTGTGCAGCGCTTCGTGAGGAGGCCCGCGCATCGGCGGGACGCGCACGGAGCCAACCCTGCGCCCCCGCGCGCACACGTGCCAGCAGCCGGCCGGTCACTCGGCCCACTGGTAACGAAAAGACAGCAGATAGCATCAACACATCAGTAAGGTGCTCAAAGAAAAAAAGGTGGCTCCCACTCTGGGAATGGGATGGCCACGTTAAGGTGCTTCAAAAAGTTTTTTTTTTTTCTTTCTTTTTTCAGTTTCAGACATTTTTAAAAAAAGGACTGGTTGAGCATGTGGTACATGAGAGCAAGGCCAAGAGTTTTGAGACTTGTGACATCCTCCATAAACAACATGAGCTTCCTCAGGGCAGGATGCATTTTGTTTTGTTTGTTTGTTTTTTTTTTTCTCTGTGAGTGGATCATCTAAGATGCGATTTTTTTTTCCCATAGAAAACAAACAAAAACCATAACAAACCAACCCAATTTGAGAATTAGCATAAAAGTTGAACTGTGTTATTGGGCTGAGATTTTGTTTTTTAATGTATTTATTTTTTTGCCCGTTCACTCAGTTAGCACCGTTCCTTTTTATTCCGGTTACGACCCAATTCCTTCTGTAACTACTGAACATACAGAAAGGACCAAGTACTTGCATTCATTTTTTGCGATCTGTTTGAAGAGCCCAAACGTAATTCCTCTGCTGCTGCTGTGCTTGTGTAGCATCTGGTTTCATGAGCTTAAGGAGAAAGGTTAGTCTGACGATATTTAAGGTTGACGTGTGTGTTTGTATGCATACACATAGTTCTATACATACACACTTCATGGAGTACTTTTTAACTGGAGATAAAGTGAACTGGGTTCAAACACATATGCACTATCTTCCCCTATGTATTTGAAACAGTCTGGAGCTTTGATTTGATTTTTTTTTTAAAGTGCATTTAAAGCAAAATAACTGGCATTCACATACCCCATGGAAAACATTATAGAAGTAGAAAGCT